TGTACTACTGCATCTTGCTTAGTAATTGATCCTTCAAAATCTTTGGCATGTTAATTTTGCATTTTTAGCATAATCCATAAAAAGGTATAATAATTTCTGGATATTAAGCAGTTGTAATAAATATTTAAAGACCAAACAGGTAATTGGGAGAAATGTTCTTATAGAAGAGAGTATTTGGAATCAGGGAAGAAGTCAGCTCTGTGGGGCCTCTATCCTCTTAGCCATAAGTTCCTGTGAGAGCTGACTACTTGTGTGGGAATTGGTACCTGTGCTGAGAATGCATCTCCGGATCTCCTGCTGTTTGAACCATCCTTCCTCATTCACAATTAGGGGGAATTCTAAAGAACTTCCTGCATTGGGACCAGAAGTTGGTGTGATGGCTATGTCACTGGACTCCCATATAGTCGACAGTGGTCCAAGTCTCGGACCTGGTGGCTTAAACTCATGCTGGGCACGTGTGCATGTGTGCCCAAGATCCCGAGAGGAGAATGGAGGAGAAGGGATTGCGGCATGGCCATGACCCTTGAGGGTGGGGTGTGATTTCTCGCTTTCTGTCTGTCTCTCTCTGTCTTTCTGGCGAGTGCACACGCCCTATAGCAAAAACCTCTCAAAAAACACAAAAAACAAAAAAACTTCCTGCCTGTAAGGGTAAGCCAATGTTGTATGGTGTAGGAATTTAAGAGTGAGAATTTATTCTTAAGTGATACACTCGTTTCCTTTAGTAGTAGAGGCAATCCACAGAATCGTGTGATAGAAAGTGCATACACTACTTCTTTCCAGCTACTAAACACCTCTTATAACCTTGAGAAACCAAATTGAGAGGATGCCTCTGTCTTTAGTGCAAGCCAGATTTGCTCCTAGAACAAGCATGAACTGTCCGTGAGAAGGTGACATGAACTGGGACCAGCAGTTGGCGTAATGGCTATGTCACTGGACTCCCATGTAGTCGACCGTGGTTTGAGTCCTGGACCCGGTGGCTTAAAACTCACGCCGGGCATGTGTGTGCACGTTCCCAAGATCCCAAGAGGAGAATGGAGGAGAAGGGATTGCAGCGTGGCCATCCCCCCTGGGGGGTGATTTCTTGCTTTCTGTATCTCTGTCTCTGTCTATCTGGTGAGCGCATGCGCCCTATAGCAAAAACCTCTCCAAAAAATAAAAAAAGGTGCCGTGAACTGTCAGTGTGGGTCATGTGTCCTCCATTCAACCTAAGGCACCACATTTCTAGAGGGAACCCCTGGGAAGGCAAGTGTGTGTCCTAAACCTTTGTGAATCCAAATTCTATGAACTGAGCCTGGGTTTCCTAAACCTCCTTCCCCTTTGAGTACACCAGAAGCCTCTGTGACTGATCGTAGGTGAGCTGAGTTGACTGACCAAGGAGCAACCTAGATCTGAAAAAGACTTATCTGTGGTCAATTTGGGCTAGAAGGGGTGTAGATTCTGTGTGAGATCAGCAGGCACTTAGAATTTCTCATTTTGAAACAAAAATGCTTTAGTGTTGCTTTTTGTTATTGTTGTTTTCCTGTAAAAGAGGGTCATTCTTGACATACCATTGGCTTTCCTTCAAGGGTAACTGTGCAGCCTGTTCTTTGGGGACACAATATAACCATATAGCCCACTTGAAATGCATAAAGCTTAGAGGCAGACTACTTCTCTGGAGAGAGAATCCTGTGTTTATCCAAGAACTGGTTCTCTGCCTCCTCCCACACCAGTCACTCTCCTGCCAGTTGCATACTTGGCAGAGAGATTTATGGGGCTGAACATACAGCTGCAAGTTTTGTTTCCTTCTACTTTTTTTTTTTTTCCAGGAACAGTGTTCTGCTGTCAGTACTGTTATGCAGTAGACACAAACACACAGACTACTTACTATAACCGCATTTGAAACTCCTAAGTAGTTGCTCCCTTGCTCACTGTGGGTACTTTGATAAACATGAAGTAGTCTACAGGTAAAAGGAATTTCTACTTATGCAAATCTTGACTGAGCTTATGTCTCTGTCTGATATTTTGGTGAAGAACCATCCATGAGCCTACTTACACTGCACAAGTGTTCTACATCTGTGGCTACTTTGTTCATGTGACTATCTTATGGACAGGGTCAGAGATTCCTTACTGGAATTCAGCTGCCCTATTTACTTTAAAACTATGCTGACTGTTTACAGAAGTTTCTGGATTCTCTATAGTTGGAGTTCCCCTAGATTCAAGCACATTTTCTCTCTTTGCCCGCCCTTTAATTTTTTTTTTTTAATCTGACTAAATAACACCAGTCCTAAAATCTATTTTCATTTTCCAAACTAGAATCTAAACTGGCTTTTCTGGGTTTAGAAGCATGTAGTGGTTTGCCTCACTTTCAACAATCTGCATTCTCTAGGCTATTTGGGAGAATAGGAATTGTGTGGGAAAAGGAAAATCAATATTTATTTAATATTCACTGGTATTAAACACTGGGATTAGTACTTAATCGTGTATGAGCCCCATTAAAAAAAAAAAAAAAAACTTGATCTCCATTTATAAACAAGGAAAGTAGAACTCAGAGAATTTTTAACTTCTCCAAAGTCATGCAACTAATAAATTGTAAAGGAGTTTTCTTTTCTTTTTAACTATGTAGAAAATGTAAAATATCTGTATGCACATTTCCAGTAATTATGAAGTGAACCTAGAAGTTCACTGTAATAATTATCCATGAATTCTAAGACCTTAGATTAGTTGTCAACTTGAGAATTTTTTCTAAGTTAATCATGTTAATCATAGTATTGGATACAATTCCAACAGTGGAAGTGCTGGTCATAGATGATGCCTATGTATTCCATATATCTAATCCTCTGCCTAGTTGTCCAGTCCTTTGTTGCTTTGACCTATTTGTTTGTTTGTTTATGCAAATCAAACACGTAAGTGCACGAAAGAGAGTCTTACATTCTTTCATTTGTGCTGTTCTGAACCTCAGTTTACTTATCTAAGAAGAGTAATGTTTCCTTTACAAATTTAACATAAATGAATCCCTGGCTAGTTTCTGGCACATAAGCAATTAGTAAACTAAAATGGCTATAGTAGTAAATATGTTCTTCATTCACTAATAGATTTTTTTTACATAGAATTTTAGATCTGAAGTATACTTTGAAGTCCTTAACATCTATTTCTTTTTTTCCCACTCAATGTATCATGGAGAACTAATATTAGAGAAGTGAAATAGCATGTTCAAAGTGACTTGGCTCATTGGGTATAGCCTTGAGACTAGAACTCATCTCCTGACTTCTGGACAGTGGTTTTTTGGTTTTTTGTTAGTTTGTTTGTTTGTTCGTTCTTTTAATTATCATACATCCAACTTTCCCTTGGGAGAAACACGCATTGAGGAGGAAGGTAGGAAAGAGAAAACGGGAGTATCCCTACAGGTGAATGTCTTAGGGAATTCATTTTTGCTGTGGACAAGCCAAACTTTATAGACAAGCAAAGGGCACCTTGTTTTGTGTAGCAACATCCGTACTTTGATCACCTGATACCAAATTTCTCACCGACCTACAGAAGACATATAGTATATTTAATTTTATGATATCCTGAGTCTATTATGAAGCAAAGTTTGCAGCAACAAGAAAGAAATGTGAGTGGAATTGGTAAAGGCAGAGATTAGGTAGTGTAATCAATCAACTTGATGAATGGTGTGGTTTGAGGGAGCTTGTTGGCTGAATTATATACAGCACTATTACCAAGGGCAGTTATGACCTTATCTGCACGTTATGTCTTTTCTCCTGGAATCTTTAAGCTCTTATCCAGGAATCATTCATCTTCACCTCATTATTATATTCTGGTGTCACTGACAGAAGAGAAGTTACCAACAGTGAGAGACCCTCTTTCCTTCTCCTTTGAGTCATAACACACATGGTTAGTTAAATTCCAGTTGAAGATAAGATGGCATATTGCCCTGCATGATCTAGCCCAAATGTAAAGATTAGTCTAAGTTATTCTTGATAGAGTTAAATGCCTTTTTCCTCTTCCCCCTCATTTCCTCCTCTGGATGAAGACAATAACGATGCTGGTGGTAATAATAATGATCATCTAGTGAACGTGATTCCTATTTTCAATAATGGCATAAGGAAAAATCAAATGCAGTGTTATTTCATTGTGTGAGAGGTGCTAAGACATTAGGTTGGGATGTTCATCCACACCGTGTCAGTTTTCAGAGAGCTGATTATCACTTAGGAAGCAGGGTAGTCTAGGGCCACTTACAGACAATCCCAAACTTAAATGACTTTTCAACTTTAAGATCTGTTTATAGGGATGCAACCCCATTGTAAAGTCAAAGAGCATGTGGATATCTGGTGAAGGTCTGTAGAAAAGATATACACTTTGGGTGGGAGACAGATCAGGATGATTTCTAGAATACATCTGAGTGTTTCACTTGATTAAAAATTGTAGTATGTCTTGCTATATAACAGCTTGGGTTTTTTTTTTTTTAATGTTATTAAATTGGTCCTACTAACTAGAAATGAGCTCTTGCTAATTCTCTTATTTAAGAAATGTTATTGCTAGAGAGTTTGCACTCTTGTGTCTGTGTGTGCATGTGTGTTTGTGTGTGTATATGTGAGAGAGAGAAAGAGAGAGAAAGAGAGTAAGAGCAAGCACTCCACCCCCAATGGGTTGTGGTCATATGGTAATCCTTTTCCTCCAATTTTTCTTTCAATCAAGATTTTGGGCATGTATGCACACACATCTAGCATGTTTTTAAAGCCACTGGTGCTGGAATTCAAACCATGATTGGTCAGGTGGGATCTGGCTTCCTATCCACAGTGCTTAACTGCTGCTCTATGGGGCTGGTCTTTTCTGATTACTTTCTGTGTCTGTGTCTTCTTCTCCTGATTCTCTCTCTGAATTCTTTGCTAAATGTGTTTTGTTATATTCAGAGAATGTCTGAAGTAAGAGTACTTCAATCCTCTTTTTCCTTCAAGATCAGAAAGAAAAAATATAGTGAGAGACAAGTCAGGGTGGCATTCACATTAACGTAGCAATTTCAGGGATGAAAGTGTCTTAGGGAATACAGATTTATGAAGTAAAAGACACTTAGGTCATCATAGGTACAGTGTTTCTTCCCAACTTCATCCCCACTTTGCATAAAATAATTGAATAACTGTGGTGGGACTTCAGCCATACAAGAACAAATGTGCAGTTGCACAATCCCCTGGGCACTCCAGAGGGCTATTGTACATCAGCCAGGACTGGTGCAGGGAGAGGAATTAGAGGCAAGATTCTTTAGTTGGTTTGGCTTCCTATCAGCAGGAAAAAAAGGCTGGACTTCAGCCTAGGTGTTTATTCCAGCTTGATCACACCCTGTAATGTGCTGAGTCCCAGCTCCCTCTTCCTGTTAACTCATGCAAGGCCAACTTCGGTTCTTAGAATGTTTCTCATTGCCCACTTGCTCAAAGACATTATTTATCTAGGCTTACTATGACTTTTGTTCTTCCTTCTCATTAGAGATATGGTGTCCCCTGTTCCTTTATTTGAATATTAGAGAGGGCCACTAGGTGTGCAGTGGTTTAGATGCTGGACTTCCATGTGGCCAATCACGGTTTGAGTCCCAGACCTGGTGGCTTGCTCTTTTTCTCTCTGGTGAGTGCAGGTGTCCTATAGGAAATGTAAAAATAATAGTAAGTAAATAAACTATTTTTTTAAAAGTTAGGGTACTGCCTCTTGCTGTCAGGTGAACAGCTAGATAAACTCATAACTGATCCCTTTCCTAAGAACTAGAGAAATGAGAAAATTATTTTATGATCTTTGAAAACAGATCTGTTAAAGAGATTTGTGAACAGAAGAAAGGCATTAACACTTCACTTGAATTCTAATTACCACCAGCAGGGGACATCCAAGCCCCCTACCCCAAGTACCCCAAATAGGAAGTTCCCAAGGCCCCCCCCCTTCAGAGGTAGTCACATGTCTTGTGTGTTTGTGTCTGTGCTCTTTACTATAGAAGAGAAATCATTTTCCCCAGGCTGTGTGTTTCCTGTGATTACTCATACTGTGTGCTGATTTACAAAACATAGTGTACCACAGATGCTAATTGAAAGTCCGTTATAACTGAATATGTTACATAGTAATACCTGCAATTCTAGATCATTTTGTACATTTTTAGTAAAAGGATCTTGGAACTGCTGGAACCAAAGCAATTGTTGAGAACATTAGGGAGAAATGACGTCTTTCCTAACAGCCTACCTCCAAAAATACTACCTTGAATAGAAGCGTGGTATGTTTTGAAGGCAGATTTTTTTTTTTTTTTTTGCCTTACTCAGAGTTTGAAATAAGTACCTACGTTTTCTTATTGTTGAAGATTTTAAGCAATACAAAAAGAAACCCAAACTTAACTGAATAAAAACCTTCTTATGAAGTTGGAAGAACCTAAACAGTAACACTGTAAGATATTTGAATGGAGAGTTGTCTTCAGCTCATTTGCCCATCTTTTAATTAGGTTGATATTTTTTTGTGGATATTCTGCTTGAGTTCCCTGTATATTTTGGTTATCAGTCTGTTATCTAAGGGAGATCATACTGGGAAAATTCATTTTCAATGTTTAAAGATATACAGTGAGTGAATGTAAGAAATAAGAAAAATAAATAAATAAAATTAAATAAGAACAACAACAAAGATATTTGAATGGACCTAGGATTATTTAGCCATTAAAAAGAAAAGACATATGTCTTCTGCTGTTCTCTATGTGTTTCTCTGAAGTTGCATGTACACATTATCCTCTGTAAATTTATATTTATATAGGGCTGTGGAGTCAGATGGAGTTCAATTTCCAGATATGTCACTTCACTGGGCAAATAATTTAACCTTGAGCAAGTAATTTAACCTCTGTAACATTTAGTTCGCTCATAAGAATTGTATTGGGGATCATAGGTTTCCAATGATAGAAATTAGCTATTGAAAGATAAAGAGAAACTGACTGGAAAGGAATCAAGCATATAAGAGAATCAAAGGCCTAAAGGGCCAAGCTTGGTAAAGAAGGAGCCAGGATCAATATGGGGTCCTAAGCATCAGAGCAAATGAACGTTCTTTCCTATTTTACTCTGATCCAGATTTAGTAGTCCGGGAGAGAGAGAGAGAGAGAGAGAGAGAGAGAGCGAGCCTGACTGACTTGGGTTACGTAACGCTGCGAATAACAGGTCAGGCACCTTAGTTGGTACTCCTATCTGTATTGCCCACAGGAGAAGAAAAGCGATATCTGAAAAGGATGTCAAGTCAATTTTAGAAGAATGACAGCTGCATGGCTAACACCTAACAGACATGACCACATGGTTTTTGGGAGGATTTTTGATTAAGTATGTAAAGTACCTGGATTGGTGCTTGGAAAAGAATATATTTTCAATAAATGATGTTTATTAAGAAATTGTCTGCTGTTTGGAAAAGGATTCTGGCTGTGGTACTCTGCCTCTTAAACCATTAATACATTGTAAGCGTTATGAAGGCAAAATCTCTGGTTTTTACATCTCCATTTTATTCAAGTTTTCCACACACTAGCTGGTGCAAGAACTCTTAGCATTTTTCCCCACGATATCTATGACAGAAGATCTTCACCTGATCTTTATACCCTAGAGCTGTGTTCAGGGAGCACACAGGTAAGAACCAGGGGATATGAGCAATTCACAGAGTAGTTGCGCTAACCCTGTTCCTGTCTGCTACTCTTGGGAGCTATGGATTCTCAAGAAGGGAGTTAAGATTGTCTTTATGCATAAGGAAACCTTGAATGAGCCTTATTTTATGAAAGAGTAAATCAGTTAAAAACTTAGGTACCTTAGAAATGCATGTGTGTGTATGCACACATGAAGCAAAACAGAGATAAGACCTTCATTTTTTATTTTTCTAAAATTAAATTCGGTTCGAGTCAGCGCTCACCAACGTTGATGACAAGTCCAGTGTTGAAGCATTTTGGTGCCCCTTGCCTATGCTCTTCCTCTCTGGGGTCACAGGTACTGCTACCCCAGGCTGCATCTCAGACTTAGGCTGGTCAATAAAATAAACTTTGATCAGCGTTAGTTACTGGTGTCACTGGTCTTTGCCCAGCTAGCCCTGTTGACTCCCCATTTTCTATCCCTGAACACCTGGGTGTAAGTCCTGAGCAGAGGTCACTGAACGCTCACCTCCAAGCTTTACCTTACATAGCCCTTATCATCCATGATTCTGTAGCCTCCCAAAGCCCCACAGGCAAGAATTTTATAAGGCCCCATCTTTGAACCAGATCGGCAGGCTCTCTCTTTCTCCAGGTGACATGGATCTACCCATTGTTGGCATCCAGCCCCTCCTCCCTTCAGTTTTTTACATAATACTTTGTTGAGATTTAATTCACATACCATACAATTCACTCATATAATGTCTCACTCGATGTTTTTTGTTGTGTTTCAGAGTTGTGCAACCATTGCCACAAGTAATTTTGGGGCATTCTCATCAGCTCTAAAAGAAACCCATACCCACTATCTATCAGTTTCATACCCCAACCCTCTAACCCCGCTCCTAGCCCTATGCAACCAATAATCTACTTTTGTCTCTGTAGATTTGCTTCTTCTGGATATTCATTTAAATGAACTCTTACAGTATATGGTCTATTATGACTCGCTTCTTTCACTTAGTATAATGTTTTCATGACTTGTCTATGATGTAGCATTTTTTTAAATTTAATTTTATTGCCGAAAAATATTCTATTATATGGATATACCAAATTTTATTTCTCCTTTCATCAGCTAATGAAATGTATATTTGAGGCCCTTCAGTTCTTGGAGTTTCAAACTATCTTCTCTTCAGTTCTTTCCCTTTGGTAGCCTAGATAAGGGAACACAAACTCAAAAGCCTTTCCACCTGGCATGAAGAAAAATAGACAGTGGTGAGGACTATGGCAAATTGAAAAGTGTGTGCCTCATTCAAAGGAGCAGCCCCTGCTCAGCCACTGCCACGCGCCCATGCAGACTTAGGGTTAATAGGTATGAATATCATCCCAGAGACACCAGAATCTGAATTGTTTTGTGAGGATTTCCTAATCTTTAAATATTGGTCAACTAAAACAAACACTATGTGGAACAGAACACACAATTGTGGTTAAGAGTAGATGTTGACTGTGATCCTTGAGTGATACAGATACATCTCTGCTTGGGGAGCCCGAAGAGTGGGTGGTTAGCTGGAGAGCAGCTCATCTGGAAATCCCGTCTTACCTGACAACACAAAAAGGTTGGTTCACCCCTTTGAGGGAAAAAAGGGCCCAAGTCTAAAGTCTAAAGGCCTGAGACAGGAGGGTCATGGAATTCCTCTCATTCTTTGGCTTGTGGGTCTGCTTTAGCAGCAAAAACAAAGCACAGACTGATGCCTTCATTAAGTTAGTGCTAGATTGTCCGGTAAATCACTGTGGCCTGCCTCAGGGTGGTTTATGACCTGCTAGTTTGTTGACTATGACTGTGCCAGACCTCAATTATGACCATGATCTTGACTGTGGTTGAGAACTTCTGATTTTGTTTAAGAGATGTGCTGAGTCCATGAGGAGAGATGTGTGGAGATGGGAAAGGAGAAGTGGTGATTATGTGCTCTTACAGAGAGAGAACACCGTAGCCGTGTCGGTTGCAGGAGGGGTTATGATAATAGCAAGTGTTTATTGAGTAAATACTTTCTGTTCTTCTTCTTTTACTTTTAATCCTGTGACCATGATGAAAGTGGGTATTATTAAAGGGAAAGAAATTAAGAGAACTCAGCATTGACGTAGTGTTTGGTATTTACAAAGAAGTTTTAAATATTTTATCTGATTTGAACCTGTGGGAGGGTAGGCATTTTTACTTACCTCTGTTTTATAAATGAGACATATGTATTGGGTCATTGGAAAAGTCATGACATGTTTTTCTATGCAAAAATGCCTCATGACTTTTCCAACGACCCAGTAAATTGTCAAGATATAGAAGAGAAAAAAAAAAAAAAAAAAACCAACTCAAGATCTTCCAGCAAAGGGCCTAAAACTTAAATCCATTCCTTTGAATTATAATTCTCATCTTTTCTACAGATACAGAGCTGTTCTAATACTTTCCAGTTTGGGTGCATCTAAGAAATAGGTCCAGATATTTTTTGACTTAATACGGTGTTCAAATGTATACTGATATTATCCACTCAGAAAACAATAAGAGGAAATGGTTTCCAACATGTTTTAGTATTTTCTACATTTTTTGGTTAAGTCCTGAACACTAAGTTGATTAATCAATAAATGAATAATTGGGAGCAGGTGTACACATTAATTACTCAAGCATTGTACTTAAAGAAGTGAGAATAACAGACATAGGCTGCATTACTAAAGTAATCCATCTCAACCACTCTGTCCTTTCTTTTCCCTCTCCCCAGCTTCTTCTCACCTGTCTTTTCTTTTCTCCTTTTCTTACTTATATTTTTTATTTGCCCAGTAAGAGAAAAATAATTTATAAAGAACAATAAAGTTTTTGGATAAATTCTACTTTATTTTTCTGATATGTTTAGTTAATGAATTCATTCAATACTGAATAGAGACTTTATGTACTTTACCTTATTTAATTTTTAAAAAGAATTATTTTATTTAACTTCATTTATTGTTATTATTTCAATATTTCCAGAGAGAGACAGAGACAGAGAGAGAGAGAAAATGGGAAAGCAAGCCTCCAGGTTCAGGACTCAAAGCACATTCAGCCATGTGGGAGTCCAGCCTCCTTTAACCACCATGCCACCTGCTGGCCCCATTATTTAATTCTTACAACGGTCTTATAAAGTAAGTATTCTGTTATTATTCATCCCTGTTTTAGAGCTGAGGGAAATAAGTTAAGCTAGTAAATTTTTAAGTTAGGATTTAAGCCCAGTTTTTAAAAATACTAAATATTTTTTTTTAATTATACTGCCTTCCAGAAACAGTGTAGCTTCTTAGAAATTATTGAATTGGAGTTGTTTGCTATATATGGTTGGGTATTTTAAGAATGCAGTTGCCAGGGGCCGTAGATAGTGTAGGGGTTACGTTGCTGGGTTCCCACATGGCCAACTTCAGTTCAAGTCCCAGACCTGGTGGCTTGAAAATTATACCAGGCACATGTGCATGTGTGCTCAAGATCCTGGGAGGAGAATGGAGGAGAAAGGGTTGCTGCATGGCCCTCCCTCTCCAGGGGGTTATTTCTCGCTTTCTCTCTCACTGTCTCTTGGTGAGCACATGAGCTCTAAGTCAAAAACCTCTTAGAAGAAGAAGAAAAAAACAAAAAAGAATGCAGTTACCTGTTGGGGTACACATGGTCTTTACCAAAGGTTTATGAAACACCAGAAGCTATGATAGATGGTCTTTCTTTCCCTCTCCTTTAGGTCTGTCAGTTTGTCGTCTCTGTCAATGGGCTTAACGTGCTGCACGTGGACTACCGGACCGTGAGCAATCTGATTCTGACGGGCCCACGGACGATTGTCATGGAAGTCATGGAGGAGTTAGAGTGCTGAGCACCCGGACCTCCCATCCTTTCCATGGCCTGGGGGTGATCAGCACCAGCACGAAGCAAAACAATGCAATGACAAGACTTCCATGCACGTGGATGGCTTTGAACACAGAAACTCTTCTCCATGCATATTCATCTTAGGTTGAATTTCATACACTGTTTGAATGTGGAAGAACCGGGTAACATAGCTAAAAAAAAAAAAAAAAAATCAGCGTAAAAACATTTGAGAAACAGAATTTTCCTACAGGATAGAATTGCCTTACTAGATTTCTATGTGTAGTCCTCATTCATTGTTTTTTCATCTTAGTTTGCATAAAGTTCTTGAAATGCTTCTCTAGCCAAAATAGCAACACGCTAAAACCCCCCAATAGAATACTTGTTACAGACTTTAAATTGCACTATCACCAATATTTGAATGGCACTATTTAATAGAGGATGGAAATTTTGTCAAACTTCAAATTAAAGCAACAGCCAAAGGAATCTGAGCTAACTAGCATTTTCAAGAAGGTTCTAAAACATTCGAGTGCTTAAAAAACATCAAAAAATGACTTTTTCTAATTCTTGCCTTTAGTATCAACTTTTAGATTGACATGTATTTCAATTATGGCATTAACTAAGAAAGAAAAATCAAAAAACTTTTCTGATGCTACTTAAAATTGCACCTAAATTGCCTCTTTTCGAGCCTAAATCACTTTGATTTATAAATCAACTACAGCAGCTTTCTAGAATCAATCCTGAATATGTTGAATGTTAAAAAAAGAGAAATTTGGGAGCCAGCAGGAGGCATGCTGGTTAAGGCGCTGGATTCCCACATGACTGACATGGTTCCATTCCGGGACCTGACTGCTTGAAAATCATGGTGGGCATGTGTGTGAGTGTGTGCCCAAATCCCAAGGAGACAGTAGAGGAAAAGAGATTGCTGAGTGGCCATCCCCCTGTGGGACGATTTCTCACTTTCCCTCTCTCTGTCTCTTTCTGTCTCTCTCTAGTAAGCACATGCACCCCCTGGCAAATCGAAAAAAACAAAAGCCTTCCAAATAAAAAAACAAAAAAAAAAAAAAAAAAAAAAAAAAAAAAAGAAAAGAAAAGGAAAGAAAAAATGGAGTGAGAGAGAAGTTTGTAAATACACATATAATCCAAAATTAAACCTTTTGGCAAGCTTTCACCTTGAAGGCCTTCCTTTTTAAGGGAAGTAGTCTAGAACTTGATCATATTTGATAATCTTGAAATTTTAAATTGCCTTCTTTGAATTTCTACTGGCTTTCTAGTGTAACATATTCTAAGGACATGACATGCTGCTTATTTGGGGAAATTAGTTTTCATGAAAAGCATTATCTTGTGTTGTAACTCTTCAATCCACTTGTATATATGCATGTTTCCTCTTTTTTGGTCTAAAGAGTACATTTTGGGGCTTGGTGTGTAGAGGAAATTTTTTGAAGTGCCAAATTAGGAAGTCAGGGAATGGTAAATTCTTCTTCATTTTATATAATGACTTCTGAACACTGGGGTTGCTCCCTTATGCATTAACAGAATAAAATATGAATAAGGTACCTCAGCTATTTCTTTGTGATAGGTTATGATAATGCATTGGTACTGGTAGAATGGACATATCGTGCCGAAGATATAATGTATATATGTTTCTGGTAATCCAACTTTTCTGATCTGTAGCTGTAGTCAGAGAATAGGATTTTGAAGTAATATTGAATATCTAACAATATTGTCGATCCATGTTTGAGAAATATTGCCTCTGTGTGTGTGTGTGTGTGTGTGTGTGTGTGATGCTCTGTGCTTCAGCATTTACAGTGTCTGATCTCCTTCAATCCTCAGCACAACCTTGCAAGGTAGATATTATCACTCACACTTTCCAGATGTAAAACCTAAGTCTGAGCAGGGTTAAAAATATCTGCACAGGGGACCAGCAGTCGGCGTAATAGCTATGTTGCTGGTCTCCCACAGTCGATTGTGGTTCAAGTCCTGGACCCAGTGGCTTAACCTCACGCAGGGCACATGTACAAGGGTGCCCAAGACCCCAAGAGGAGAATGGAGGAGAAGGGATTGCAGCATGGCCACCCCCCCGCCCGGGAGGGGTGATTTCTTGCTTTCTGTCTCTCTGTCTCTGTCTTTCTGGCGAGCACACATGCCCTATAGCAAAATACCCACTCAAAAAAAAAAAATGCATAGCTGCAGAAGCAACTAAGTGATGTAACCTGAATTCAAACAGCTTTGTTTAAAGCTAAAGCCCATGTTACCCTCCCTCCTCTAATCTTTCCCCATTTACAGACATTCTGATCAGGTGTGGTACTAAGACTTTACGTCTCTTTTTCCTATAGATGTGTGAGGTCAATACCACCATTATCCCCATTTTATAAATCAAACTGACTCATAAAGCAGTTAGCTATATATCCTATGACACACACCTAGTAAGTGGGAGACCTTACCACTTGGTTTTGAAGCGTTTATATAATATCTTTAAGAGATGAATCTTAAGGGCCAGCCCGTGGCGTGATGACTAAGGTGGCTGGATCCCACGTGGCCAACTGTGCAGGTCGAATTCCAGACCCCATGGCTTGAGAAATGCACAAGGCATGTGTGCATGTGTGCTCAAGGAGATAGGAGGAGAAGGGATTGTGGCATGGCCATCCTCCCTGGAGGATGATTTCTCATTTTCTCTCTTGTTTGTGAGCACAATGCCCTATGGCAAAAAAACCAAAAACAAAAACAAAAACAAAAAACTCTTAAAAAACCTCTTAAATGCTTTCTTTCCCCAGGTAAAGAAGAAGAAATGCTTTCTAAGACATGCTATTGTCTTCTTTATCTGTTTCTTCTACTTTTTACTTGTGTCCTAATGCTCGTTTTTCTTGGGCCTTAGCACAATAAAACTTCCATGTAGCCCATATAGGCACTGGAAAAGTGTTTCTCTTTAGCTACTCCACATAGCCCCCTCTTGCCTGTGAGAGAAGAAGGAAAGGAGAAAGGAAGGAAGGAAACAGGGAAGAAAGGTAGAAGAGGGAAAGGAGGAAAGAAAGAGAGGGAGGGAGAGGGAGGGAGGAAGGGAGAGCTGTTTCCATTTGGGGTTCCCATCACCCTCACTTTTAAGGCCAAATGCCAAATAATCTCTTGAGGCTATGGGAGTTCCACCTTGCCTATTCCTCCAGTACACCCCTGACATCTTCACACAGAAATGAAAGCGGATGCTCCTACTTCCTGAGGAAACCCTTGTGATCTCCTCACCTTTGAACATGCAGTTTCTCCTCCCTGGAATGTTCTTCTTTCTCCCTTTTTGCCTGAAAAATTCTCAGTTCCTCCTATGCATTATCTCCTCTGGGAAGCCTTTTCCAGCTTCCCAATTCCAGCCTCGATGACCCTTCTCTAAATTACCGTTGACCTTTATGCCCCCCTCTGCATTATAACGTCTTTACATCTTTGTGGCCTTGTTACCTACCTATCTCCCTAACTAGCTCCTAAGCATCTGCAGAACAGGGACTGTTTCATGGTACCCAGGGTATTCCCTTCATCCAGCACAGTTCCTGGCAAACAGTAGCGTGTCACCTCTCCTCTGTTGTCTAACAAACCACCCCAAATTGTGACTTACAATATGCCATTTGTATTCTCATGATGTTATGGATTGGCAGTTTGGGCAGAACTCTGCTGAGCTGGCCCACCAGTGGCTCTCAGTTGGGTCAACACACACATTTGTGGTCAATGAACAGGCTGCTTGGAGGCTGGCTGATTTGGGATGGTTTCGTGCATTTGTCTTAAGGTCGGCTGAGGCTGTCGGCTAAGATACCATCTCCACTGGCCTTTTTCCACAGAAGAAAAAGGAGAATGAGATTGGAGAGCGAGAACAAAAACAGCAAGACCTTTTCTCTGTTGTTATGTGATGTCACTTTCACATCCCTGTGAGCCAGAGCAGGTATTGAAGTTGGCCCAGAATCAGGACATGGGGAAATAGAGGTCACCTTTTGATAGGAGGAATTTCAAAGAATTTGTGGCTACTTTTAATTTATTGAGTGCAGGTATCATGTTTGTTAAATAAAGGCCTAAGAAGTTACCTAATTATTGAAAACTTTTGCCTATAAAGATGCAAATTACCAACCCCTGGGTAGAAGTGTAATATTACATTGTGAATAAAGTTCGATGAAAACTTCAAAGTCAGAAAATCTCAAAATAGTATTGCTACGTGGGGTCATGCAGAGCACAGTTTAGCCTTTTTATTTGACAAATAAGGAAACTGAGCCATAGAATGGCCTTGCCACATGCCCAACCTCATGAGACTTGCTGGGTCAGAGTTTGGTCCAAATGCCTAGCTCCTACCTTCCAGCACAGCAGCTTTTTTTTTTTTTTTCTTGCCACAGAGTGTGTTCTTGTCAGAGAGAGACAGAGAGAGAGAAAATGAGAAATCACCCTCCAGTCGGGATGGCTACATCACAATCCCTTCTCTTCGAGTCTCCTCTCAGATTTTTTGGCATGTATGCACATGCGCCCAGCGTGACTTTAAAGCCACCAGGTCCAGGAGTCGAACAATGGTCAGCCATGTGGGAGTCTAGCACCCTAACCACCATGCCAGCAGTGTCTCAGCCCCATGACTTTCACAGGATAGCCTTCTGCAGCAGAGGGTAACATGGTAAATATGGCTTTATGGTATTCCTAAAATGGAAGTGGAGCCATATACCTGTGAAGGTAAGGAAATAAATTTTAATTGACTTAGGTCTTAGATTGTTCATATCATTGAAAACTAAGTATTGCACATAATAGTTTCACAACTGTCCTGCGTTAAAACCAAAACCAAACCAAACAAAAAGATTCTAAATGTGACACTAAGAATTTACCTAAATTAACAATAAACAATGTTTGCCAGAACTTTTATTTCATTTATATGTGTATGTCTGTGTGTATAATATCTAGATAGGGAAGAGTATTATGTGTGAGGTTTCCCTCACTGAGAATCTAAGAAATGTTTCCTTGCTCCCTTAAAAGCTTTCAGTTTTTGAGGTGTTTGTGTGACGTGTTACGTTTTAGTGATGGAGATGAAAGTAGTTTTTATTTCTTCATTAGCATAATATGTGCAAATCTGAAAGCCATGTTTAGTTGTTCGGAGAAAAATGCAGTTACCTTTTGGGTTGATTCTATTTCTGATGTTTTATTGTTAATCTCTATTAAATAATTGTATAAAGTAATGAGACTAGTTGAGAAATGGGGGTAGCATAAAGAAGATACCCATCTTTGTGTAG